TTTTTTTCTTTTCTTTTTTTTCAAGATTAGAAACAGTATATAGCACAACACTATATATAGATCTTAAGAGACCTCTTTTTTTGCCATAACAAACCTTAATTATTTTCATCCTCACAGCACCTTAATTATGGACTGCATCCAGGTCCGATTGAAGCGCCTGATGAGGGAGAGCAACATGGCTGCTGATGCTTTGGCCAAGATTGGGAACCAACGCCCCTGTGGATTCTATATCTTGTATATGACTGTCCGTCTAACGTGGACCTTTAGTGTATTGTTGATCATGTAGGAGTTTGTTACCCCAGGTGGTAGGATTGCCATTAATAATCATTTAGTCTTATTTATCATAAAAGTAAAAAACACAAAAACAAACCTTATTATTTTTTATCTAAGATAACTTTTTATAATAAAATAATTATGCAACCTTAAATCATGTTTGGTTAGTTTTATATAATTTAATAAAGAAATAATTATTTTACTATTCTATAGAATCCTTGATGAGTGTAAGAAAATCTAACGTCCTTTCATTTATGTCTTTTTTTTTTTTGATAATGATATTTATTTTATATTTTTAGATAATGTGTGATTAATTTTGTATAATTTAATAAAGAAATAATTATTTTTCTAATCTAAAGAGTCCTCAGTGAACGAAACAAAACCAAGTGTCCTCTCATTTATGTCAAATTTTTTCGCTAACAAAGTCATATTTTATATATATATATATATATATATATATATTAAAAAGAAGAAAAAAAAAAAAAAAAAAGGAAAAAGAAGAAAAATCTGGGTATAATAGTCTTTTCCGCATTCTACACTTTCTAAAACCCTAACGAGGGTTACTGGACCTCATCACGCCAGTTGAAGTTACTTGGCCGAAACCAGAGCCGCCGGAGCTCGACCAACAATGGGTACGCATTTCTCGGCAATTCTCTTCTCCGATGATCTAGTTCGTGATTTATTCTTTATTCATTTTAATTATTCGTTAATGAGATGATTTGATCCTTGGTTTTATTGTATTTGTCCATCTCAAGTTCTTGTTTGGGATGCTGCGTTTCTTGATTTGATGTATTGTGTTCATACAATATGAAAATGTATAGAATTATGGAAAATAATCTGTTTGGTTGCCGGGAAAATTCGTGGAAAATATAATAAAATCGATTTTGTCTTTAGGAAGTGGAAATTGAAGGAAGGTTTTAATTTTCTCAGCTGCCAAATGGGGTGTTATTGTATTTTTATTTTGTTCTTGACGATTGGATCTGTTTATATAGGATTTATTTGTTGATTTTTTGGGGTTGTGTGAAACTAGGGGCTTACAAGTATGTGTCGGAGCTATGGAGGAAGAAGCAGTCTGATGTCATGAGGTTTTTGCAGCGGGTGAGATGCTGGGAGTACCGCCAGCATCCTTCCATTGTCCGTCTCACTCGCCCCACTCGCCCTGACAAGGCTCGTCGTCTGGGTTACAAAGCCAAGCAGGTAAACCTTTGTATAGACGGATACTCACCTATGTGTCTGGTTTCAATTTTTTCCCTTGTATGATTGTATGCCTTCTAGCATTTGATTGATAATGCATCTGTGTAATCTACTTGTTCATTGTGCTTATTTAACTTCTTAGAAAATAATGGTTCGATAATGTTGATTGAAACCATTTTAAGGTGGTCTGGTGTTAGTTTATTGTGCTTATTTATTAATAATTGTTCGCTCCTCATTCCATAATCTTGCAATCTGGTTTCGCTGGTATCCATTATTCCCAATATTCTATACTTAAAGAAAAGTAGAAAATGAAAATCATCAAGATTGAATGTTAATTGAGATTCATTCTTCCTCTAGTTGCTCATTGACATAAGATGATGAGATCGGATGAATAAGTTATTCAGAATGTGCATTTTCTTGAGAAGGTTTTAGTTATTTTCCTTTTTCAAGGTCAACCTTCCTTAACTTTTATGTTGTTAGGTGCGTCCAATGTTCTGTTATCTGCAAGAAGCATATGTCAACTCTTTAGACCATTAACTAAATGTTGATGTAATTGCTGGGTTTAAAGACTATTAATGGCTCATGTCTTGCAACTGAAATGATCTCTTTAATAGGGTTATGTCATCTATCGTGTTCGTGTGAGGCGTGGTGGAAGAAAGAGGCCAGTTCCAAAGGGTATTGTCTATGGTAAACCTACAAATCAGGGTGTCACCCAACTGAAATTCCAGAGGAGCAAGCGCTCGGTTGCAGAGGAAAGAGCTGGCAGGAAGCTGGGTGGTCTTAGGGTTTTGAACTCATACTGGATCAATGAGGTGTGTCATATCATGTACCCACTTGTATTGTGCTTTGAATGATGTGCCTGTGTTTGTCATTTCTATAATTTCTCAAGTTTCATGTGAGCAATTTGTTTGATATGTCTTCTACTCAGGACACTTTATTGATATAAAATCGATGATGTTCTTGTGTTTCTGTTTTGCAGGATTCAACATACAAATACTATGAGATAATCTTGGTTGATCCTGCCCACAATGCTATCAGGAATGACCCAAGGATCAACTGGATCTGCAACCCTGTTCACAAACACAGGGAGCTCCGTGGCCTCACTTCTGCTGGCAAGAAGTACAGGGGTCTCCGTGGCAAGGGACATTCAAACCACAAGGCCAGACCTTCTAGAAGGGCAACTTGGAAGAGGAACAACACCCTTTCTCTCCGCCGCTACCGCTAAATTTTGGAGTTTTTTTGGTCTTCTTATTGTTATCTATCTTGTAGGGATTCATACTCTGACAGTTCTATTTTGGACAAATTATGTTTAAATTTGCTGTGATAAGGCAATAGAGTTTGGGACTTGTTTAACTCGAAATTTGGAATATTTCGTCACTTAAATGCTCCTTGGGCCTTAAAAGTTTCTTGTTGGACCATGAATGTTTTGTTCGCTTTCTTGTTGTTTATCAAGGAATTTTTGTTGTTATGGTCAATGGTAGTGCCTCATTTTTTAACATAGCTCAAAATACAAATTAATTATCAATTAGAATATATAAAAGGGGTTGCGACGAATCGGAATACTTCGAAGTACAAATTTATTCTGAATTAAATTATCAAAGGGATTCAAATATCAATAATAATAATAATAATAATATTTTAATAAATTAATATGTAACGGTATTTGAATAATTATATATATATAGTTTTGATATTTTAAGTGTCAAAATATTTTAATTTTAATTTTTTAAAATAAAAAATAAAAAATAAAAAAAATTAAACAAAAAATATAAAATTTTGAGTGAAACAAATGACAATTTACAATGCATGATAAATTGTGAAAAATCATTTTGATTTTAGAAAAAAACGATGAAGATTTTTTAAATAGTTTACAAATATTAAACTCCCAAAAGATAAGTGTAGGTTATTTGTCACAAATATCATCCCAAAAGATTTTTTTGGTCTTTTAGTACCAAAATACTAGTAAAAATAAACATCTCCTATTTTTTTTGGTAAATAAAAATAAAAATAAAAATACCTAAATAATAATAATAATAATAATAATAATAATAATAAAAACTTTCCTTTGGCGGGTTAAAAGCAAGTTTATTAAATACTATAAAATAGAAAATTTTCAAATTTTTTACATTGTTCTCATTTTCAGCTGTCAACTAGGGTTTCAGTTTTACATTGTTCATCTCAGTTTGAACGAAATTGTTAGCAATTCCGAGTTCGATCCAATTCGAAATGCCTAAAGCTTCAACAGATCAATCCCAAACGCCCGGAGACGGTAACCAGACAAGTCTATCTCGCACTTTCAAGTACTTATTGGGTTAGTTTTCCTTTCCTTCGTTCAGTTCTCTTGTTTGTTTCCCAATAAATCACAAGAAAAATATTTGGAACATTCACAGCTTAGCCTCAGTAACCAGTACGATGTCATTTTTTTTTTTCTGATTCCATTTCATTATTGTCTTTGTTTTGGGAGATTAGCTACGCAGTTCTTGTCAAGAGGAATTCCATTCATATTCAATTCATGGATCGTGAGGCACCTCACGGAAGAAGACTATGCGGTATCGCCTCCATTTTTATGATTTATTTAGTCCATAATTTTCTTTTTATGATCATCAACTGAATTTCCATTTTCCTGTTGATTTTTTTCTCCAAATTGCAGTTATATGCGATTCAGTTCCATCTCTTTGTCACATGTGTCTTGTTTCTTAGTCGTGAGGGGTTCCGTCGAGCTTGCATGCGTGCAGACCTTAGCTGGTGATTTGCTGTCCTTGCATTGATTCAGTATATTTCTTTTTGATTTGTTAGTATTTGGGACTACAATTTCTAGTCTTTTTTTCTTGGCTGCCATTGTTGGTTGTTGAAAGTTGCTGTTAGTTTGCCGCAGTTTGGATTCTTATGGCCCTTAATGTTCACCAATTAGTAATGTTGTATGACAAGTATTGGTTTAAGTATGAGGTTTCGAAAATTGAGATTCTGTTTTAGTTCTTTTCGCTTCAATGTTTTATTTGGGTGTCATCACTTAGGGGGGAATTCTATCTATTGAAATTCATAGCAAAATGTGGTTGAATGAAGTAGTGCAATATATATATATAATTATATATATATTACTCATGTTGATAGTCTGCAGAGCGCTTTAGATTCCAATTTCCACCTGCATCAATCAAGATGATTTCATACCTATTCCTATCTAACTTGGTGATACTGAGTAGGAAAAACACCCATGTTCTAGCTGTGTATTATGTTTCTGAACAGGTATTTAGGAAACTTTGTAATTACTAATTATGTACCATGGCTGTTTACACCTAGATGTCATGTGTTATGCTGCAGTGATAGTTCTTCAACAGTGGAAAATACTGCAAAATTATTGAAAGTAGCCTGGATGACTCTTCCACTTGGTGTTGTTATTACACTTGCAGCATGCCTTCTCATCTTCTGGTGGCAAGGACTAAGCTATTCTGACCCATTTGCGCAAGCTATCTTGATCAATGGTATTGTGCAATATTGATTTCCAGACTTTCTGGTATACTTGTGTCTGTCAACGCTTGCTCATTCCTAGATATGTGTTAATCTATTATCTATGTCAGAAGATATTTCTCTATGGGGCTTCTGACCCTGAATTTATTCTATTTTCATTCAATTTTGGTATGACTAGGTTTTTAGAAAAATTTGGCCTCTAGATACATCTGAGTCTTTGAATTTATCTGGAATCCAGACTTGATTGTGATCAGCTGATTTTTTATATATCATGGCTGTATTCTTGGTCAAATAATTTGGTTCATAATATTGTTTTTTATATGTGGTAGGTTGGGCGTGTATCTTGGAGCTATTGGCAGAACCCTTATATATCCTTTCTCAGACCATGCTTATGCTCAAACTCCGCTTAGTGGTTGAAACTGCTGCTACACTTTCACGCTGTGTAACAATGTACATTCTCATTGCCTATCACTTTGATATGGTAAATAATTTAATTGATTGCACTGTCAATCTTGAATTGTTCATGTTGCCAATCTCCCTAGTGGTAGTAAACATGTCTTATCTTCAACAACTAATGAAAACTTATGATGTTGGTAAATGCTGTCACTTTTTTTTCTTTTTTGATTTATTTGAGCTCAATATAAGGTTTTGTTTCCTAAATTGAATCCAAAATCTTTGGACAAAGCTATTGATTATTTGTAATTGACCCGTTTCTTACAGGAGAAAGGAATTGTCTTTGCATTATCACAAACTGCATATGGAGCAATCTTGTTCATTGGCTACTGGTTTTACTTTCTTCTCCTTCATTCATTTACAATTTCTGATATTTTTCCTTTCAGGTATTGATTCTTTTTACATCATTTTCTTGTTTGTGCTTCTGCTTTAATTTTTAAATGTCCTCTTTCAAGTCTAAGAAAATAATATCTCAAACAATAAATAAAGAACGAAGTTAAGACTTTGAGATTGTAGTTGGCCACGTATATAGGAGCTTGGCAAGATCCTGAGGTTCTCTCAGTCATCCTAGCACTTCTCCTCCTCTGAATTTCTTTTCCAGTTTCTTCTCATGAACTGGTCACCCGTATCTTTTCTGACAGCTCTGGCTTTAAATGTTTTAACTTATCACCTTGCCAAACCTATCAATGTGCTAGGTTTATCATTTTTCATTATTGCTATAGATTAATCATGCTATTCGCCTATGCTTGCTAACATTAATTTGAAATGTCAATTTTATTTCTAAACTGCTGCACTTTCCTTAGTAGGATGGCAGCTGGTTGCATTGCTTTTTGTAAATGAATGATATATGATCTGTGCGTTTGCAGACTAGGAAATGTTATGGATTATGATAAGCAGCTTTCAAACATGTGTATGCTGTTTACTTTTCAATCCTTCCGGAAGTTAATCTTGCAAGAAGGAGAAAAGATGGTTCTTGTATGGTTCGATACACCATATAACCAAGCTGTATATGGACTTGTTGATAAGTTAGGTAAGTGGTGAATAATGGTTTCTAATGCTTTTAGATGTGCAGCTAACCATTCAGGATATTTGTTTATAGGTGCAATTCATTTGAATTTTGCCATTACAAATGGAGAAATGCAATTGATCCTACCAGTTATTTTATTTCATGTGCAAGTTTGAATCTTTCTCTCTGTTGGCTTCAGGGAGCTTGGTGGTTAGATTGGTGTTCCTTCCATTTGAAGAAAGTTCATACACCACATTTGCCAGGTCTGCTTCAGGTTTACTTCTCTCCTTTTGTATTTTTATTAGTTCATTGGATATCCATGTGTTTGTTTTATTTCCCTTTTAATAGATGTATCTTAGTCTTTAATGTGGCCAATGATTTATCATAGCACATGGAGTTAAAACTGTCTCCCATGATGATTATTTCTGTTTTGAAGTCACTGCATGCATTTTAAGGGGGAAATTGTTGAATTGATTTTGGCTGTTTTCCATTTGAATAGGTCCATCTGCACAATATTTGAAATTTGAAAAAGATAATTTTTATTAGTCAAACTATCTCCATGAAATGGGTTTTTGATACATATTCCCTGATGCTTTTTTGTGTGGATAACTTATCTTTTGACTGGCTGCATAATCACATTTGTTTCTTAACAGGACAATCTCAACATAAATACAGGAACTTGGGAAGTTGTCTTGCTGAGGCCCTGAAGCTTGTTTTGCTAATTGGTCTGTTGTTTCTCTTAACTCTCCTCATTTAATTCAATTTCTATTTTCTTTTTCAATTTGAAACCTTAGTCCTTATTTCATTGCGTAGATTATCATGATAGTATTAGACTATTAGTAATGATATTTGTTATGCCAATCCAATAATAATAATAATAATAATAATATATTATTATTATTATTATTACTATTATTAAAATTATTAATAATATTAATATTATTAATATTAATATTATTAAAAATATTAATATTAATATTAATCAATAATAATATTGTTATTATTTTTTTATTATTTTTATTTTTATTTTTTATGTAATATAATATTCAAATGATTCTTTAAGTACTTATTAACATATTTCATCAGTTTGGAAAATTAAATATGTAACCGATTCTTACTTCAGTTGCCATTATGGCCAAAATATGTAAAAAGATACGTGTTGAATAGCGTAGTATTTTAACTGATATCTGTTTTCCACATATAGTACTGTACTGTCTTCTTCATATTTTGGGCTTAAGTAACAACTCCTATTTTGCAGGTCTTGTATTTTTGGCATTTGGCCCAAGTTACTCGTATTCTCTGATCAGATTATTGTATGGTCAAAAATGGAGTGATGGAGAAGCTTCAGTTGCCCTGCGTTATTATTGTCTTTATATCATAGTTTTGGCTATGAATGGTGCGTAATATTTTTGTTTGTTAGAATTGCTGACTGAGTTTCTAACTTTCTATGAAATCAAATTGCATTTAAGTTTGTCTTTTCCTCATATAATACACTTAATACTTTCCATTATCTGGTTTGTCTGGCAAAAGATGCCATATGATAGAAAGTAGTTGTTCAGAGTTTTAACAGTCCTTGATTACCCTACTAGTATTATACATGAAATACTGGTAGGGTAACATATAATACTAGTAGTATTATACATAAATACTATATACATGAAATAGAAAAGCTGTAGTATACTCAAAGCTTCACATATTATGCTCAAACATTAGCTTCACATATTAGTTAATTTAACATTGAATATTTTCCAGAAGTGATATTAATGAGGGAACTTGCTGATCTTCCAATCACTTTAGATGCTGTGATGGTTAAGTTTACTTTGTGGACCATTTTACCATTTGTTGTTCTCTATGAACACATATTTTTAGTGATATGCCATCATACAGTAGTGGAGGAAATCTGTAATGTTTTCCAGATTGGATATTTGGCAGTAGAATTACTATCTCATTGGTGTTTTAGAATTCTTTTTAGGCATAATGCCACTTAAGATATGGTACCAGCCAGCCCTTTAAATGGTTCTTACATTTTATGCATCAGGAACTTCTGAAGCATTTCTACATGCAGTGGCTACAGAGAACCAACTCAAACGCTCAAATGATTCTTTGCTTGTATTTTCATTGATATATGTAGTGCTGAATGTCATGTTGATACAATCTGCTGGTGCAGTTGGCTTGATTCTTGCAAATTCTTTGAGTATCCTTACGAAATTGCTGTCAGCATATGTTTATACTTCTTTATCCTGAGATCTTTTCTAACATTCATTTTAAGTGACATTTATAACAGGGTTGGTGCTACTACAAATTCCTTAGTTCCCAAAATGGCCATTTCTCTATTGGAAAGGAATTATTTTATAGATTGAATGCATTGGCCTCTGTTTCCTTGATTATCAAATAGATATGATTTTGAGGATTGTATATTCTGCAGTATTCATCAAGCATTATTTCCAGGTATGGTTTTTAGTATTATAAACATACCATGTTTTTTGCCATCAAAATCAACCTTATAGTGAGTGTTTACCCTTTTCTTCCACAGGATTCTTCGTCATTTTCTTTTCACAGCTGCTTGCCTTCAGGTTGGACAATTCTGTTGTTTTCAGGTGTAGCCACTCTTATTTCTGAGAAACTGTTTCTGGACCGTGAACATTTCTGGCAAACATTTCCAATCCATTTTTTGATTGGATTTACTTTCTTCTGCATCTCATCTTTTGTCATGTAAGCATCTTCCCATGCTCAAGATCTTCTAAACTTAAAACTCATTATTTTTTGTTACCATGTTTAATACATTCATTAATTCATCTTTACTGTCATCAACAGCTATCGCCGTGAGAGACGTTTTATCAACAAAATTATCCGTTTCCGTGATCACATGGACTGAGGAACCGACATCTGCAACAACTGCCTTTGAAAGTGTGATCATTTACTTACCCATTTTTCACTGTCTCTTGTCGGTTGTCATTTACTTACACGCATAAACGGTAATTCCACAGAACAGACATGAATGGATAGGGGGAGAGGATAGAGAAAGCAACTGCATCATACATATGCTGATTAGGACTTAAAAACTTCTGTATTTTTTCTGACAGTCCTCTCAACCATAGGGAATAGATTTTGGATTTTTGGGAAAGATGACTGGTGGTGTCAATACCACATTATGGATTTACAGTTTTCTGAGCCAGACAATTTTAGGGTCACAATATAACTGTATCGTATGCCTGTTGGAATCTGTTCGTTTTGAACAGTTTTAGGCCATTATTTTCTGACATTTGCTGTTCTCTTGGTTGTTTCTTCTTATTCTTCCTATTTATTAGTCCAAGCAATCACTCAGATAAAAATGTTTGCTGTTCCCAGAAAACAAATGTACTTGCGATCTCGATAGATTGGGTCCAAAATCTACAAAGAAGGTGGGTCTTACGTTTTTATGGACCATTTCCTTATGTAGAAAGATCATTCTTTTTATGTACTAAAACTATTCCTTTGTAATTCTTATATTATGTCAGAAATTGTTCAAGAATATCCCAAGTATCAAATCGTCTTTTACTTTTTTTTAAGTGTTAAAATCCTGGGACTTTATGTCATAATTTATATGTATGATCCTGGGCAGGAGGCTTTCAATGGCGGGTCAGTAGGAATTGGGATAGGTGACACCCCTGAACCCGATTCATGAATAAACTAATGTTTTGAGAGATTTCAAGTTTAAATCTTGGCACAAAGCAAAAACCGAGTTAGGAAAAAGTAAAAAAAAAAAAAAAGTGTAGGTTGATGAGGAAAAGGGGCCAGAAAGAACGTATGTGATGATTCATAGGACATCCACGGGGGTGTGGGTTGTCTTCCAGTGTCACCCCAAGAGACCAACAAGAGTAATTATAAGCTTTGAAGGCTTGAGGTGAAAAAGTGAAGAAAAAGGGTGAGGAAAAATAAGAGCTTATGATGATTAAGATGTAGACTTAGGGTTCTTCCTTTTTGGAGTATAGACAAGTATCCAACAACAAAATGGCTTTTATCTTCCAGAACAAAATGATTATAGTTTTGAGTTTTGCTTAAGAGGTTGGATTCCTAGTGGGATTTCATTGTGACTCTGATTCTTGCCTCCATTAAGGTAATCCCACCCACCAAAACAGTTTAACCACATTTAAGTGTCTAATTCCCTTCAAATTTTCTTTCATAGTTCAATTGACAAAAGGTTTATTCTTTTCTTTATTGATCAAGATTCGATTTCTCACAATCCCATGATCTTATTTATCTTTAATAAGACACATGTTACACCAAAAAACTAAGGGTTCATTTATTAACACTTCATTTCTTTTTTTTTTTTTCCTTTTTTTCTTTCCTTTTTTTTTTTCCATTGCCAAAATTTTAACATTTAATGAAAAGTCATTAGTATTGTAACTTTTTTTTCTTCAAAAAAAAAAAAAATTCAACAACAGATTTTCACAAGAAGTTTCCAACCAATTGAAACATGTCGCCAAAAAAACGCGGCTTCCAAAATTTTGTGTTTGTTATCAAACCTTAACATAATTCATGGGGAATTGCATGAACATAGAGATTGACATAAACAAAAA